ACATACATACATACATACATACATACATACATACATACATACATACATACATACATACATACATACATACATACATACACACACATACACACATACATACATACATACATACATACATACATACATACATACATACATACATACATACATACATACATACATACATACATACGTACGTACGTACGTACGTACGTACGTACGTGCGTGCGTGCGTGCGTGCGTACATACATACATACATACATACATACATACATACATACATACATACATACATACATACATACATACATACATACATACATACATACATACATACATACATACATACATACATACATACATACATACACACGTACGTACGTACGTACATACATACATACATACATACATACATACATACATACATACATACATACATACATACATACATACATACATACATACATACATACATACGCAGACGTGGGATACTAATAAAGCAATTTGAGCAGTATCAAAAGTCATATCATTAATCCAAATTTTTAATTGAAATCGCCACACATTTCCCATTTACAACGGACTAAGACGGCAAATCGAGACGGCAAATATATATATATATATATATATATATATAGATATATATATATATATATATATATATATATATATATATATATATATATATATCTATATATATACCTCTTTTTATGCATTGAACTATCTATTGATGTTGTGTCCCTAATTTCATCACTGTAGCGCAATATCTATTGTTTACATAGATCGTCCAATTTAGACCGATAATACTACATGATATCTTAACATTTCTCACCTGTATACAGGTCGTGATCTTATCTACAAACAACCTCTTACCAAGGAGTCAGAATTCTTTACTTTGAATTCAAAATCGTTTTTGTTTTTCATTCGTTCATGGTGCCCTTATTTATTATTGCATGATTTTAAATTATGAAAGGATGAATGGGTGGAAAACAACTTAATTTGAAGCAAATTGTCTTTGTGAAAACTGATGTTTACAATAGTATCGTGTGGTATTTGACGGTGTATTTGACGGTGGGTCGTTCGAATAGCTGATCTTATAAATTTCCTTTTAATTGGTTGAGCTCGATTTCCGTACGTAATATGCACGTACCTTAACCATCGCGTTGTAGTTAGTCAGTACTGACCAGATTTATCCGTCAGCAGGCTCTCACTTTATAGTGGTGTAAATACCGGGTTATATATCCCTGTTTAACACATAAAAGCCAAAATTTAAATCAAATAGGGTCTTTTGCACATCGATTACATATTTTGATAAAATCCTAAGGATGATGAGGGTACAGGCAATGGTTGTGGTGATGCTAGCATTGGCAGAAAAATGTTTCGTTTCCAAGTTTTATTGTATGTACAGTGTAATAGTTACTATTAATAATGACATTTATTTTTATTACAAATTAGTAATTTATTGCACAACTGTATGCTTAGGACTTTCCTTACGATTTAAGGGAACATAAACCTCATGTGTTGTTGAGTGTTCTCTGTAGCTTACATGCGCACTTATCTCCTAGTTGGTGGATTAATTCTTTATCGACTCCTAATTTTCACTTTTACTTTTGCTATGCTAAGAGTTGCAAAAGGTAAAATGAGTCTAAAACTTTCAAGATCCTAATAGTGCACATGTTTTAGATTATATTATATGGTCCATACATGAAAAAAATAAATACAAGAAATTTTTCGATACTCAATTTTACATATTTATTACGTGATTTTCACCTGCTAGAGATGTTGTCATCCATTAAAAGTTCTCGTTAAATCTATTTTCCGTCTGGCCACTTAATTTTTATGTGCATGTAATGCTGCCCTATATAGTTCAAATGCATGTTTGTAAGTATATGGTTTTCCTCTTCAATAATTTTGCTTTTGAAGCGAAAATGTAGGAATGAATCCTTACGCATTCCAGGACTTGTCATTGAATGATATTTTATTTCCTTTCTAATATTATAATTGATTTAATTGAAACCAGTTTGCAACAGTCCTTGGAATATTAGCAAATGGACAATCTCTAACTGAGATCTAGACATATAACCAAAATGCGTTCATTTAGTCCTTTTTCTGAACTGGCAGGACGTGACAGTTCCTATATAATATTCCATCTTTTGTCATTTGTCATCCGTGTTTCCAACGCAAAATGTTATGCCTTGATTACACAACAACCACATCCGATTGTCCACATTAGTACTATTTTTAAAAAAAATATTTACCTCAAACGAATTTTCGAAAATTGGAGACCAGCATATTGATATCAACAAGTATCAAGAACTTCATGTAGAGTGTCAGTTCTTTGTATCACATTTACGTCAAAAGGACAATTTGTCTCGCCACAGTTATAATCATGCAACGGTATACAAGACAAGCCAACACAAGATATTATTGCGATCAGGCCGTAGATTTTAAAATATGAAGTATATAAGAAAATAAATATGATCATTGCGTGTGACATCATCACGTAGTGCTTGAAGCGGTTACAAAATTTGGATAGCACAGTTTAAGAACCTGCAATTATTTTCCAAAAGCCTTATCTTACGTGCAATAATTCATTGATTATATTTAAAAAATTTTGCTTGGAAAAATAAACAAGAAGCAAATACTTTTGTCTTTTATGATGAAAATAACAACAATCCAGAAGACAGTGATGTTCAACAGCTATACATTGTGACTAAGTTTACAATAACGTTGCCATAGAAACATTAGCCCATCTACCAGTGTCAGAAAGAAAAATATGATTTGAAGTTCTAAACTTAATTAGCCCTTCTGACACATTTGTGGCAACGAGAAATTTTCTTTTCTAAACATCTTTTAAATAACCTATACTTAAAATGACGTATCAATATTACCTGCACAAGCTTGCATGTATTGATCTTTTAGTCGTAGTTTTGTTGATCCAGTATTCATTGAAATGGCATAACTCTGATTTCTCTATGGTACCCAAACCTATCATACTTAATATAGATTTTACTCCACGTATCCATTAATTTTCATTGGAATTATCCCATAAGTGATTGTATGAGAGTGAATACATATTATAGGACGTTCCTTCTTTGTAGCTACTGACTCGTCTAGGTCAATAGTTTATCGAGGGTAGGACAGAAAGTCATAGGTCAAAAAGTAACGGACAAAATGTCACAGGAGAAAAGTCACAATTATTTTTTTTGGAGTTATGAAAAACCGTAGATCAACAAATCACAATAATATTAAAGTTTTCATACTATGCTATTTAGGGGCATGATTTTCACACTACATTTCCTACTTTGTTCAAATATTTTTAAGATTTAATTTAAGTTTAAAGACTAAACTGATAAATGTTTCATTTACTGATGCAGATTAAGAAACATTTTGATTTTGTCCTTTCGTGTTCTTTGCAGTTAATTAACATTATCATTAATATTATTTTTTGTCTTATTAAGTCTATTTTTTATATAGTTATACATTATTTTTCCTTCTATATAACTGTCAGAACCACCTTTCATGCGTAAAATATAATTTGATAAAGAGAGACCAGATATTTGCTTCCAGCATGGATATCCTATAATCTTGTTTAAATAGTACGGTAATAAATCTTGACGTCAATTGCCGTCAGCATCATCCTTTCCGTATCACAAAATTGCACGGTAACCAAACTATCAATTGCTAAAACCACACCTTCCTGTTTAAAGCAACTGCTCCGTATTACGTGTCATGTTATCTTAATCATTAATACCGTTACCCTTCTATAATATTAAAAGTTTTCAAGGTTGATACCAAGTCCTGTAACATGTTAATCCTACTATTACCAGTCTGAATTGTGACATTTTGTTCTATGCCTTTTTCTTCTTTGTGTATTTTTGTGTGACTTTTTGTTTGACACTTTGTCACGTGACTTTCCGTCCGTTTACCTAATTTACCTTGCGAACGAGTTCACCTTACACCGTATATGGTAATGTATATATTTTTACATTCGTTATACTTCTAAGGAAAGAAAGACTCTCCCCACGGGGAAAATTCATTTGTACACAGACGCATAATTGGATATCACAATAAATATTTAATATGACATTAAAACACTTTACTTTGATGTCTAATGAATACAATTTATGCCATAATCCAACTTCTACTACTGACGCAATGAACACATAATGACCTGTATGACGTTTACTTTATTAGAAGTAGCTCTGTCTTTCTATGGGAGTGCACATAAAGAGTATTTAAAGGAACATGGATATATTAGGATTCCGATATAGTGAATAATCCCCATTTAAATATATGTGGAATCAAATTATAAAACATGACATTTATTACTCCAAATGTCCATTTACCAAAGTCAAACAGAGCACGTATGCGTTAAGTAGCGACTATTTCAGTGATGGATGTCGTTTACAGTATTGATTATATATATATACCTTTAGATGTTGATACTTCACTTTATTCGGTTCCTCCTACCTCATATTCCTTTGGAAGTTAATTATGTATACGCCCCCGACCTATGGCGAAACTAAGTGTTAAAGTTCGGGAATATTTTTGGACGCGGTCAACCTAAAGGTGTGATACAGTAGAAACAGGATTGAATTTTACGCTCGGTCACGTCACAATAAAAGCTACGCGTATTGAAAAAAAAAATCATACCACCCTATCTTCTGACGATTTGATCCGACGTGCTCTTATCTTGACACAGTTTAGTAGCTTGCAACTATTGCAAAAGTAAATAACGATACAAATTTTTGCCTGGAAGTTACTTGATGAACGTTAAGGTGCAAAACATTCAATTATTAAGATTGAATATAATTTGATTAAAACATTGATAGTTCATTCCATATGTATAAAAGCACCTACAAGATTACATCGACATGCAGTATAGTAGTTTTAGTATTTCAGTATTAGATTAGATTAGATTAGATTAGATTAGATTAGATTAGATTAGATTAGATTAGATTAGATTAGATTAGATTAGATTAGATTAGATTAGATTAGATTAGTAGAAATAGTAGCTGTTGGACTGCTCAGGTAGCCTAAGTGGCTATAGCGTCCGCCTCGAAAGTGGGAGGGTAGCGGGTTAGAACCCCTGCCGAGTCATAACAAAGACTTACAAGATTATATAAGCAGATGCCTCAAATGGCGCTAAGCATTAAGAGGTTAGTGTTAGGACTGGTCGGCCTGGTGTCAGGATAATGTGACTGGGTGGGGCATGATTCCACACGTCCGCGGCATAATATCCCAGTGCTAGACATCACTATAAACTGCCACACTGCAGACGTCGTAGCTATATGGCTACAATTGTCAAGACTACAATAAAAATCCAAACACACGTAGAGGGTAGAAGCTGGAAAAGTAATATTACAGAAATAGCAGATGTAGTTTCGTTCAATGCTCCGCGGCACACCGACACAAGTAGATTATGTAGTGCCGAGACAATTGGAGTGAAGTGCATTACCCAAAAACACAACACAGTAGGTGACCCAGTTTGGTCTACGGAAGGGATTCAAACCTGCATAATTTCTGTCGTGAGTCAAGCACGTTAGCAACTGAATCACCGCTGCTGCCAGGAGTGGCAGTAGTATTATGATGATGAGAAGGTGTATGAGTAGTAGTGAGGTACGAAAGTTAGCACAAACAGTATTTTTACACTTGTGTTTATTATCGATCGATTAGATTAGATTAGATTAGATTAGATTAGATTAGATTAGATTAGATTAGATTAGATTAGATTAGATTAGATTAGATTATCTATTTTTTGGTTTATATTTGTGGAGCATTTATTAATGTTTTTCTTACTGCAAGGTAAACAAATCTTTATTTTACCTGTACTTATATGTGACAGATTGGCGGCGTGCAAAACACACCAACCTCTTTCACTACGGTTCGTTGCTAGGGAATGACGTCCGCGGTGTGATTTACCCAGTGTGGATAGATAGAATGAAGGAAGCAGATCACTGAACAAGTATATTGAGGAAATAAACACTACGAGCCCCCTTTCAATGAACAAATATAAAATTTAATCAGATTATAAACAGAATTTAAAATGAAAAGAAATCAATGACTTAGCTACAAAGAAGGAAAGAATGGTACTAACATGTACTCAAATAAAACACAATACAAATTTCTTTAAATATAAAATTACTTTCACGTTAAATTGCTATCATCATTCCCAATGGGATGTGACCTTTGAGTGTAACGATGAGAGACTTCATCACCTAATTTATGCAGACATCAAGACTTCCGTTCGTCCCTGCTTGTCGATCTTTGTCTAGCTTTTCGTCTTGGATTCTTGTCCGTCTAACTCTGACTTAACAAACGTCTCTGGACTTAGATTTCTGCGTAGAATGTGTTCCCGTCCTATGATTGTTCAGGGATTCCGTGTCCAGGAAGCTGTTTCCTTCAATAAATAAAAATGTCTCGCAATAGACAATAGGTCACATTCCCAAGTATATCTATATTTTTACATTAATTCGGCTCAGAAACAAAAGGCATAAATTCTGCCGCAGTAACTTCTGTTAGCTAACTGTTATGTTTACATAAACGGTCGATGCTTGTTCTGACCTTAATTCGGGTCACGTTAGGGATGGTCAATTAAATTCAACTCAGCCGTATGAACCCGTATGTACCCCCCACTCGACTTCTCTTCTTGCTCTGTTAAGATACATATGGCTTAGACCTCCAGATCTAACTATTTTAAAATAGTTTACTCGACCAATTAAATATTACAAACTATCATATAGATATACACTTAAGTGATCAATTAAATATTACAAACTAGTATATGGTATACATGTAATGTTAGGTCATACTCATTCTAAACAGAGTTAATCCATAAACTATGAAACATTACCCATCATTTCTTAAATCATTCATGAAAATTCATAATCACTCCTATGTATTAACGATTCAATTACATGCAATCTTTTCAAATAATCTAATGAAATTTTAATTACATTCACTCTTGCCAATTCTCCAAATGAATTGATAATTAGGAAATCAAAGAATAAAATGTCATGATTAGCATTTCACTAAAATCCTGCAAAATGAAATAATACATATATATATATATCATATCAAGAATACATTTGAAATAGATCAACAAATGAAATAACATATTAAAATCGGGAAACTAAGATTGCGTACCTTTTTGCCGTTTCTTTATGTTTCCACGAACCTCACGTATAGGCCGTCTCCTGAGAGAACTATCCGGCCCCTTACTCAGTACGAAAAACGTACTTTTTACGAATTTCGGAGTCAAACTAACTTTCCTTGCGAAAGATCGAAGAGACTAAAGAATTTGCCTAAAGTGAAAACCTTTAATTTCGTACATAGTTAAGCCCATAAATCCATACTAACCAATCGGAATAGACAGTTTCCTAAACCTGTTCGTAGAATTTTTGGAGTGACAAGAAAACTAAACAACTAATCGTGCCGTAATTAATCATTTTCTTTGAGCTATCATCTAAAGCCAGATGCCGCCTTTAACCCTGCCGATTTTGGGGAAAGGTCTTATGTCATTCTCTTGTACTATAGCATCCGACTCGGTCATGTTACTTCGGCCAGAACGAATTCCCTTTTGACGTTCAGAGATGAAATGGAAATAATCATCTAACTATCTCTAGCCCTTTCTACTTCAATTAAGTTGACTTTGATACAATTCCTTTAAACAAAGCTTCTAAGATTTTCAAAATTCGACACATCACATTATGTGATCATGAATCTATGAACAGGGTCATTCGTATTCAGTCCTATCTTTATAAATGCATACGTCTTCGACAATAAATTTGATTAAGAAAAGCATCTTGCATATTAATGAGGAAAATATAATCTGAATTTCAAATGATGTTTGTTTAATATCATTTTGTAATGAAATCCAGTAATTAAATCGTGGCCATCATGCCGTGTTATGTTTGTAGATTTACAGAGTATCTGACCATCGTGACCATCATGTTGGGTTATGTTTGTAGATTTACAGAGTTCATGACCTCCTTCAGATCAGCGTTTAATTATACTCTTCTCTGTAAGAAGTCTTAATTTGACCATCCCCCAAGGTATTGGATAATTAAACGTGAGTAGTCACAACAAACATATAATTCATATAAAATGTACTATTGCATAAATAAATTAATAAATAATGGCAATAAAAACCTGTGTGCACAGAGAGAGAGAGAGAGAGAGAGAGAGAGAGAGAGAGAGAGAGAGAGAGAGAGAGAGAGAGAGAGAGAGAGAGAGAGAGAGAGAGAGAGAGAGAGAGAGAGAGAGAGAGTTTTACCTAGGTATTTTAGTGTTGTTACATCTTAATATGCAGGTAGTCATTTAAACAAGGTCATTCGAGAAAAACCGCGTAGTATCACACGAGATTTCGAAATCAATGTCTTGAACATTTTAACACCTAAGCTGCATACTATCTGAAGACATTCAAATCGACGACTATCCTATAACCTTTCAGTCCTTGTGAATATATGAAATTGTTACAGGACAGCGAGAGACCACAATTAAGAAGTCAGAGAAAAGTCAGAGAGTCAGAAAAAAATAAAACTGCAACTACCGTGAAAATAAAAGCATTTTGAGCACTTTGCACTTCTTTTAAGAGTTTTTTTTTTTTACAAGGTTTTACCATCTAATTTTCATTAGACCAAAAACATTTCGTGTGTTATTATTTAAATGAAAATATGTTCATACTGAAAATTCTGTTCTGTCCGTCAGTGGGCAAACTTGGCACATTAGAGAGGATAGTTAAAGGTCATACTTTCTACAATATCAACTTACACTCTTAATTTTTTAGCTACAAAGTCGACAACCATACGCTCTTGTTAAGTTGTTGAGTGAAACTCGTTAATTGTTTTCTGCAATTCTGTAGTTAACAGTGTCAGTGTAGTGACATTTCCCCACAAAATTTCACTTAATGTCATAGAACCCCGAAACCATTTATCAAATATTCATCACTAATTAAATAAAATGTTAATAATAAATCATCGAAGTTTAATGGCTTTGTATATTCATAAAGCCTCAAAATTTAATGGTTTTGCATCTTCAACGATGTTTTTCTCCAAATAATTCATAGAGCGGAGAGAATGAAAGATGTATGCTACAAACAAATGAAAATGAAATTGTCTGAGTCTTAGAGGTGAAAGTGCTAAAACCTATTATTGATGTAGCCCTTCTTAAACACACTTGCTATGGATATGTACTAGTCAATCTACACAATACACAACTTTGTTGAACTGCAACAATGTTAAGGAATGGAACGTGAGACTTTAGTTTTGAAAATAAAGGTATCTATTAATTTTGAGAACACTTGATGGACCTTGGCAATACAATTGATTCTACTTTTACGGATAAAAGTCAACACAGTACTGTGTAGCCTCATTATTTATTGACATTGAACCAATTCAAATGATATTAAATAATGTACTTTTGCGGATATTTTCTAATTACCCTTCCTATTCATGCTTAACCCAATATTGTTTCACCACAATACATGGAAATCCTTGAAAAACGTCTAAAGATAAAAAAATATTTAATTGTTGCGCATTTCAATGCCCTTACAATGATTGAGAGATGTGAAATATTAAGTCACAATCCTCGACTTCAGGAATTGGAATTGAATTTAATGATATGCCCAATAATAATAATAATAATAATAATAATAATAATAATAATAATAATAATAATAATAATAATAATAATAATAATAATAATAATAATAATAATGATGATGATGATGATGATGATGATGATGATGATGATGATGATGATGATGATAATAATAATAATAATAATAATAATAATAATAATAATAATAATAATAATAATAATAATAAAAATAATAATAATAACAATAATGACAATAATAATGACAATAATAATAAATGCAACAATAGCGAATTTAAAGCGTTATAACTCAATGTAATATGTATCCGGGACTGACTTTCATTTGGATTGCGTCTTTCGATCAACAGGAGCTGCTTCCATCTCAAAGTGCACGGAATCTGACCTATGTAACACACATTCTTTCGACTATTGTATGCGAAATTGTTATTCACAATCATTGGTGCCCGATATTTATCATGGCAGTTTCTCCTGGCCTTCAGCTT